TTGTCAATGTAATTGGAAAAGTTTTGGAATAATGTGCTTCTTGAATTTATTAATATTTTATTTGCAGGATCTGTGTAGATGTTGCATATTTTATGCTCAACAAATGTCCCGCCGGGTGGAAAATATTCATTTGGGCGATAATAACAAGAATTTTGGTAAGTAAATCTTATGATTCTCTTTCATTTTAATTTAACTTAAATGTTTTTGTTTTTTGTTCGTAGTTTTGTCAGAAGAATGGTGCATAGCCATTAATAATATGGACTATATACGCCAGAGCTTACCCTCTTTTATAAAGGTAGGTTTTACATAGAGTCTTTAATATATATATAAACATTAAAAACGCAATTATTTCTTTAGGAACTCAACATCGATGATATCATCAAGAGATTGGGAGAATATCGCACCAATTTGGAGGCTGAACGTTGCGCCACGACCATCAAAACTGTCATCGAGAACGCACTGGACACTGAACGCAATCAAATCGTAGAGCTCATTGAGATTGTGGCCCGCAAAATGGCACCACCGATTAAACGTTACCTGGCCGAGGGCGCTGAGGTCCTGGCCAAGGACTCCAACTCCATGGAACAGCTGATGATGTATTTGGAGGGTTCATTAGCCACGCTTTATGACTCCCTCAACGAGGTTAACTTTGGCAGAATACTGGACGCTATTTGGTCAGAGTTATCCATAATAATGTATGACCTCATACAATCCAATCTCGATGTAGGTCTATTTTAAGTTAATTTGAATTTTGTTTTATTATTTAAATCTACTTTTTCCTTATTTTAGAAACGTCGACCACCAGCATTCTTTCAGAATTTGAACAACACCCTTCAGACCATGATTGACTGCTTCAAAATGGGCAACATTGCTACTTCGGACGTGAAAATTCTGTCCAACATTCAGAGTAGACTGGAGCTTTATTCCATGGAAACAGCAGATCTTATTCATCAGTATTATATGGAGCGATTGGAGAGCCAAAAGAGCCAGGACTCGTCTCCCTTTGGCCAGCTCACGGTGATGGCTCAGTTAACTGATTCCGGTATTTTGGTAAGAGCTATTTACCTCTCATAAAGAAAGTTCTTTAAATTCGATATTGTTTATAGTTAACTATTTTAAATGCACGAAACCTGCTCTCCATGGACTCAAATGGCCTGGTGGACTCATTTGTTAAGGCCAGTTTCATGCCCACAAGTCGGTTCAACGATTTATCGCCGGTGAAAACCAACGTTCACAACAAGAATTGTTTTCCCCTCTACGACCAGGAGTTCCGCATGTATGTATTCACTTTTTATTCAAACGAATTGAAAACTGTAGTTCCTCGTTCTCCCACAGAAACTTGAGTGAGCATCAGCGGAGTGCCAAGAACAGCCTGATAGTATTCAGTATCAAGGATAAGGATCTATTCGGAATGTCCAGTCAATATATAGCAGAATGTTATATTTCATTCGCCGATCTCGATGCACTGCAAGGCGAACAAATAATGATGAATTTATCCAGGCCAGAGTACACAGGTAACAAGTTTTAGTGTCTTAAAAATATCCAAATTAATTACAAATTTAATTCATTTCGAAGATTCCGAATCCCTGCGGGCACTGGAATACAGACTAGGTGATAAACAGGCCAAGGAGTTCCTGAAAAAACTAAAAAACAGATCATTTAATTAAGCAATATTACAAAATACATATATTGTTGTAAACCAAAAGCAATAAAAATATATTTTTATATTTTTCAAATCATTTAAAGTTAACAGTTGAGAGTTTTTGCCTTGAATTTTTCCGGGGGTTGCAAGAAACCTTTATAAATAAATTGCTTGTTCACGTACTTTTTATTGGAACAGAAACCAACATGGCATTTTTAGGTATAAATACATAACACTCACTTTTTACGATTAAATAGTAATCCTTTTGAATTGATTTTGTAATAAATAATATTTAAATTGATTCGTTCATTAAAATAAATTATCATAGGGTTTGATTTTTAAGCACAAGTGATTAACACATTATGATCTAATGGCAGAAACTTCTATGGCTTTAGTTCTGGCCAATGGTGTGCACTTTATTGGCGGCGACGGGTATTGCGCTGCTTGTCGAAGCGCATTTCCATTTCTTCGAGCACTTTGGGTGTATAGCGTACAACCAGCTTCACGGATCCAATGGCCTGCTTCAAGAGTTCCACGGCCTTTTCATGGTTCTCGCCTTCAACAGACTGAAATTTGAATGGATAAGTAAATTAAACTTGTATAATTTAGAAGGTCTCTTAGAGGACTCACCACTCCGTTGACAGACAATAGTTGATCGCCTCTCTTGAGACCTCCATGCCTGTCTGCAACTCCTCCGGGTATTATACGGGATATATAGATGGGGGAATTTTGTTCCTTGCCTCCCATTACGTTGAAGCCCAAGCCTGGAAGAAATAAATAAAAAATATGAAAGGTGAAACAAAATTAAGCTGGAATCTAAACAAGTTTTTTTGGGGCGTTTCCAGAGATATAAACAAACTTTTAAAGTTTCTTACAATCAATGAAACTAATTGCCCTATATCCGTTATCCTCTTCCTTATCGCCTACAACTCCCTAACTAACATTATCTCCATCCCAAATAATCTTTCTTTTACAGCCTATGCTGACGACTTTCATCTAATACTGCAACATAACCGTAACAACAATCCCCAAGTCAACCTTTCAACTCTTTTCCATCAAATCGGAGAATGGTGTTCTTACTCAGGTTCTTCACTTTCAATTGATAAATGTCAACTACTCCACATATGCCGGAAAAGAAGTTGCAGTGCAAACATCATCACTGGTTCCATCAACATCCCAACCAGTGATCATACAAAAATCCTAGGACTCACGATAAACAAACGATACAGTTGGAACCATCACATTACTAACCTGAAAACATCCCTCTCCCGTCCCCTAAATATCATAAAACACCTCTCCTCAAGAAAATACAACTGCAACACAACCTCCCTCATACAAATTGTAAACTCTATCCTCATCTCAAAAATTGATTACTGCCTACCTATATACGGGAAAGCTCCCACCACCATCTTAAACTGCCTTAAATCGACCCAAAACTCTGCTATAAGAGCAGCCCTCGGGGCCTTTAGAACAACTCCTATTTATAACCTGCTAATTGAAGCTAAAATTAATACACTAGAAAACAGATGTAAACTTTTAACAAGCAAGCTCGGAACTAAACTTATTCTCTCTCATAACTCCCCAATAGGCAAACTATCCAAATCCATAGTCAAAACAAAAAGAAACTACAGATACCCTAGCACATTAGACAGAATCATCGACTCCTGCAAATCATTTTCCCTTCCATTCTCTCCCGCCAAATTCTACACGTCAAAAAAATACAATCCGGGAATAATTCTTAAAGCCACAAACACCTCCCTTTCCCTATACAACAAAAACACAACTTCACCTATAACATACCACCAGCTCTTCCACTCTATTAAAAACTCCCTACACGATCACAAATTCATTTACACAGACGGCTCAAAAACAAATGACACTGTAAGCTACAGTGTAACCAACAATACTGACATAATCAAATATGGCCTCCTTCCCCAGTACTCCTCTGTAATCTCTAGTGAGTTAATTGCAATCCATGAAGCTATAAAAATTTGCTCTGGTTCACCCGGCAAATATGCTATATGCTCGGACTCCCTTTCCTCAATCAAATCCATTTCAAACATAAACAATTACTCTTACTACCCTAATACAATAAGATCACTTATTACCAAACTCTTTCCCAAAATCAGACTAATTTGGATCCCTAGCCACATAGGTATACAAGGCAATGAGAGAGCAGACACAGCAGCTAAAGAAACACACAAATACCCTCTAATATTTACAGACAACTTCAACACCAAAGACATCACACAACTCCTTAAAAACACTATACCGATAAACTGAACAGTCTTCAATCACAAACTACCCAATGGTACAAACAGATCTTACTAAACACCCCAGCAAACTTCTCTTTCAAAACCACAAACCTCAACCGACAACAACAAATTATAATAAATAGACTACGACTAGGACACACACAACTCACAAACGCCCATTATATGAATAGATCCCTAACAAGTATCTGTCCCTTTTGCAACACCTCAGCGATAGACATCCAACACATTTTAATAGACTGCACTGCACTTTCACATGTTAGAACAATTTGCTTTTCCAATGATAACCCAATCCATCTCCTTGCGAATCCAACAGCAGCAAACTCAAATAAAATTATATACTTTCTACACAAAATGAATCTCATACATAAAATTTAATTATAACATATTCCACACACATATCTTTGTTAATACACTGTAGAGCGGAAGGCCTCGGTAGCCATTGCTCATTATCCTTTGTTAACTTTTAGTTTATAACTATTAGTTAGCATTAAATAAATAAAATAAATAAATTGCCCAATCTCCAAAGATTCGTAGATGGTAAACCCTTACCCTCCTCCGTTTTGGGCAGCTCCACTACTCGGGGATGTGCGTGACCCTCGCTGGCTGCAAAGGCGGCCACTGTGGCCTTGGCTGTGGCAGAGGCCCGAACGTCATGGGATCCCTGGATGTCCACCGTCTCGTAGACATGTTCGTACACCTCTCGAACGGAAGTCATGAAGTCGGAGTTTAGCACCTTCTGCAGGGCAGCCAGTTTTGTGGTAGGGAAGTCGCCACTGGCCTGCAGTTTTTCCAAGAGCTCTATCGATCTTTTAACATCTGAAAGTGGGATAATGGGTTTGATTAGAGGGGAGTTCGCTGCAGCTGTTACCGAATTATGAACCCTTACCCCGGGACAAAGTCAGTGGTTCCGCGTTATCGGCCATCTTGTGGAATCTTAAAGATATTCAGCTAAAATTATTATTATATTATTCGAGAATACCGAGCTGAAAACGAAGAGTGTGACCAGCTGCAGTGGGCTGCAAATACCACTTTTGTTAAATTAATCCAGAAAAATACAATCGATTTGGTATTTTGGGGAAATTACTGCCGTGGTCATATTGATTTCATATTATTTTCAGAAAAACGTAAACAATTTAGAACAAATTAATAAAAATGAGTTTACCGGCAGCACTTTTGCAGCGTTTAAAGAAGAGGGGGCTGGTAACGAAACAATCAGGTAAGTTACACTTACTAAGTGTATGTAAACACAAATTTACATACATGAATTAGTTAATTGGTTTATATCCGGTAACAAAACTTTTAACTATTATAAAATATTGGAAATTGTATGGAAAATATTCTTGTCTTGCAGGCACCACACCAATATCGGAGGCTATAGAAGAAATTATAGCCGAAAATTATGACGACGATGATAAGGGCGCCCCGTATGCACCCTACAAGGAGGAGCCGGAACCGAAGCGCAAGAGCGTCGAGGAGCAGTTCTGGTCGCATCGCATCAAGGAACGCATCGGCGTAAACGAGTCTCATCACGGCTACAAATTGTGCCCCAACAAGTACAACATCTGGCACAAGTGCTCCCTGTACTGTGTCAACAAATTCAACAGTACCCCGCACTCCTCGCAGCCCAGCCAGGAGTATCTCAAGCGCTACAAGAGATTGCTGAGAAAGTATCCCCTGGAGGCCGGCTGGAAGGACATGTACGATAAGGGCTGCAAGGCGCATTACTTTTACAACTCCACAACGCAAAAGGTTTCGTGGCTGCCACCATCCCACCCGAAGGCACGAGTGACCCACAGTGCAGCCGTCTTCCGCCGGCAACTGGCCAACTCCAATGACGAGTTTAACTTTGACTCCAACAATTTGCCCATCTTGCCAAAGTCTACTGGCGGTGGCGGTGGTGGTGGCTCCAATGAACTAAATGAACCCGAGAATGCTTATACTTCATCTTATGCTCCTGCTAAGAAGCAAAAGTCCAGAGATTTGGATCGAAAAATGCATCGGCGGCGACGCAATGATTAGATTATTAAAAAGAGTCAACAATAAATAAAGCTATGTTTTACTTTTAAAAAATAGATTATAAACGTTGTTACCCTTGGTAGATCTTTCCCAGGAAGTAAATATCTTCCTTTGATGTGCTCCCAGGCTTAGGCCAAGTTAGATTTACATCCTCTTTTTAGGTTTAAAAATGTACACTCTTGCTTTATTGAATTGCTAGCTTAAGACAATGAATGGTGGAGGAGGAGCCGCCGCGAAACAATTAAATCGAAGGGAACGGATACGGATTGGATAAGGAATGCAAATGCAACCCGTTAAAAAGGTGTGTTACGAGTCTGGAAAGAGGTCAGATCTAATTTAGGGGCGGCAGTTAAGGCCCTCAACATGAGGATGCTCTTGGGGGGGAATACACTTTCACCAAACGTTGTGCCTTGCGTAAAGGTGTTTTAACCATGTTTTCTTATTTTTGGGTGAAAGATAAATACAAATATTCATGTTTATTTCAAGGTCCGTTTTCCCTTAACAACAACCGGGCGGTTTCGTATGTAGCCCTTGCGACGCTTCGAGTTCTGCAAGAAAGATGCTTGAATTAATATTTGAATAACATGCATGGAATATTTAGCTATACCTTTCTGGAGATCAAGTTGGCTGGTGGAATCGTCCTCTCCTTGGCTTTCAGTGAGGGCCTGTTGAACTCGTGCGGCTTCTTAACCCTATAGATGCGCACCAGCCAGTGCTCTGTGGTATAGGCCTCCTCCAGATAGGTTAGATCGAAGTCCTTGTTGCCAATCACAGCGTTACGAGTGCGATCATAGCCAGATGGTCCTCTGAAATCACGTTTTTCATTAGCCATTTTAATATTTAAGCCACTCTCCCACTCACCTATAGTCCAATTTCAGTTCCCCGAATCTGTAGTAGCTTAATTTGTACATAAGGCAATTCAGTAAAGCTGGAGCACCCTCCGCATCCACACGGAATTCACCGCGGTCGGTGAAATAATCGCTCTCCTTGATATCCTTGGGATGTTCGCCCTCGGCGATGCGCACCATCCACAGGAACTTGTTGATGTCATCGCCCGAGTAGCCAATGACACCGCCAAAGATCACCAGAACGTAGTCCACGTCCAGGGATGTCATGATTTCGTAGGATTTCTCCTCGGTCGAAGACATGGCCTTGCCCACCAGGGCTATGTGACTATTATTCCACGTATTGTTGTCCACTAACGTTGTTCTGTTCGCCATGCCTGCTATCTGATAGCCATAATCCCACCAGGACATAACTCGGGCATCGTCGGCGGTGTTCTGGGACAGCCAGTAGTAGGCCTCCCTGAAGTCGTCCAATATGTTGCGGGAACTGCAGGTGAAAGGGTGGAAAATCGTTTAGAAAGTAATGAAAATTATAAATTACAAACATCATACCCATCTTGGCTGTTGTGGAAGGCCAGCACAATGGAGGGACTGGAGTAGGCATTGCTGGTCACCCACGTGCAGTGAACCGCGAACATCATCAACAGCATGAGAACGGCCAAAATAACAATACTCTTCAGGTTCGAGCTAATGCCAGTGTCCTGCTGGGCATCGTGCTTGGTGCGGTGCTTCAGTTTTCCGGCCTGCAAGTCCAAAGTTTGAGTAAACATATACCAAATACTAGGACCTCTCCATCACTCACCTTGTCGTACAGAGTTTTCTTCTCAATGGAATCGTCTGTCTCATCCACTTCAGTGGCCGTGTGTATGGCCGTGCCTACTCGCTTCGACGAGTCCTCTTGCAGGAAGACCTCCAACAGGCCCGAAAATGCCACGCCAGCTAACATACACACAACGGGCGTGAGGGTAAGCATTAAACGCACCATCACACCGGCAAAATACACCGCACTAATGGCGTACAGCACCACGAACACGCGCTCGTCGTTGATGTGCTTGATGCAGTACCAGACTCCCACTGGGAAAGCGCACACGAGGATGTGAAGATCGAAGAAGAACGAGAACCAGGTGGTGGGCTGATGCTCCGACACGGAGGCAATGATCGGGATGTGGATCTTTGCGTAGCCAGTGTCCCACAGCGAGTAGAAGCGTCCGCTCCACGGGGCCACGACGCCCAGCATCGTCAGCACCACGACGGCCACGAAGACGCCAACGCCCACCAGCAGGCCTCCGACGATGAACAGCTTACGGAACTCGTGACGCGACAGCACCGACTGCAAGTGACGCAAGGTGGCCACGGCCATCAGGAGGACGAACACGCCCAGGGCGGCCATGTGCTCGCTGGTGCGTATCGGCTGGAATCCCACGAAGGGGATCTGCATGGAGAACAGCAGTCCCAGGATGTAGAAGGTACTGTAGCTGGTCAGCAGGCGCGGCGAGTATCTGCCCATGATAAGCAGCACAAAGACATGCAGCGGGATCAGGTTGATGATGAACACGTAGCCACCCCAGGCGGAGACCATGTAGAAGTACGAGAGAGCAGCTCCGGCCGACCAGAACACCGATCCGGTCTTCACGGAGCGCACCCACAGGAAGTAGGTGAACTGCAGGGCAAATATGGCAATGCCCTCGTTGTCGTACGATCCGGCCACCGAGCGACTGATGTAGCCGGGCACGATGGCAATGAAGCTGGCCGCGAAGAGACCGGCGCCCGAGGACCACAGCTCCTTGGTCAGCAGATACGTGGAAATGGAGGTGAGGCCGCTGAACACCGGGGCGAGGAACACGCAGATGTCGCGGATATGCACCGGGATGTTGAGTACGTGCAGCAGCCAGTGGATGCCGCCCGAGGTGATCATCAGGCCCGGGTACACGGTTCCACCGACGATGCGGCCCAGCGGGTACCAGGCGCGCTCGTCGAACCAGTTGAGAAACTTGTACCATCCATGCTCCACCATGTAGGCGGTGGCCCGGTAGTTGAACCACGGATCAAACTCATGGATAATCGACTCGAAGCGGATTACGGCGAACAGGCGAGAGGAAAATCCGGCCAGCCAGGCAATCAGCAGGATCGCAAACGTTATCAGGCTGCTGTAGCCAGCCACCTTGCTGTTTAGCATCTTTGGCGTCCGATTCATGTCCCCTATTCCAGCCAGGTAATGTGAAAATTAAAACCGATCTGAAACACAACGACACATTCTTTTCTTAGACACGTAGCTAAAAAAAATTGCCGGCCACCAGTGTTACCAGATTAGCTTAACCCCTACATTCGGTATTTTTTTCGTTTGTTTCGATTTCAGCCGTAGCACCCATTTTGAAATAATCGGAATTGGATCCGCTCATCCCTAGTTGGAATGGAACACCGAAGTCAACAAACCAAAATCGAAGTAAACAATTAAAATTAAAAACCAACATGAATAATGGAAATATTAAGCGGGTGCCAAAGAAGCTGAGCGTTTCCAAGAAGCCTGCCGTCACTGTGAATTCACCCCTGGCAAAATATCCTTTACAAAACTTGAATTCGACCTAGGCACAAATAATTTCTACAGCCGGCGTTTACCATAGCACATTTTGTGTTGTTAATTGATGATTTACTAAATTTTACGTTTATTTGCTTTAACCAGGAGTAAATTATTGTATTAATAAGCTAAAAGTTTGTTTACATTTTTAGCAAAACCCCAGAAATAACGCGACGTTCACTCTATTTTTTGTTTACCTTTTAAGGCCACATGAACTTCTCATTAAAACACAACTTCTAGCTGGTTTCTTAACTAAATCTTTACGTATGACTCTTCAGGGACCTTGACCTGTATCATTTGCAGGATTCCCATCAAGCCCAGTGTTTGGAAAGTGCACATCAACTCCAAGCAGCACAAACTGAATGTGGACCAGGCCAAGCAAAACAAAATTGAGAAACCAGTGGCCACCACTGCCAAGGAATCATCAGTCCCATCCTTCAAGGCTCCTCATCCTGTGGCCAAGTCCAGCACGCACCCGGATCCTACTCCGGCAGAGAACCAAGAGAAGAATCCCCAGCTTACTCCAGAGAAGGCGCCACCACAGTCAAATACCAGTAGTAATAAGCCTTCCTCAATCGAATCTGTTGCCGAAAAATTGCCCGAGAAGTTTTTCGACGAGGACAAGACCAGCAAAACCGAAGCAGCTCGACTCCAGGACGAGGAGTGGCAGCGGTTCCAGCAGGAGATCAAGAAGGCAGCCACAGAATCCAGTGTTATCATAGCTGACGAGCAAGAGGATATAAATATCAAGCGTCATATCAAGGAAATAGACGAACAAATTGATAACTGGAAGAGAGTTATCAAAATAAATGATCAGAAAACATTGCTTTTAAATAAAAAGCGAAAGGTCAACGTGAAAGTAGAAATAGATCCCGAGTTGAGTTCCAGCGAGGATGAATGCAGTGTAGACGATTTGTACGACTGGCGAACAAAAAACTTGCATTAATAAAATATATGCCATTAAATGTTATTGTTAAAAACAATGAAAACTTGAATTAATGTAATTAAATTAATTTTTGAAGTATAATATTAAAAATGGGAGCATAGTTAAGCTAGGTAATGACTCCAACCAGTTGGGAATTTTAGCGAAATGCTAAAGGTAAATGGTTTTCTATATTAAAAATTTTATTATAATTCCTGTAATAATTCTATTCCAGCAAGTACTTTGATTTGTATTTAAATTTGATTTATAAATAGAAATATTTTCTTAAACAGCTGATATATCTAAACCTGTTTGGCTTAAAACTGACCATTTGCATATGTGGCCACACTTGTGGTCTCTTCCCTCGTTTTGTATCAACGCCAAGCGATTCGTACGCTACATTACATGATCAAAATTAGTACATATTTTATGTTACATTAATTAGTTACACACTTTTATTTATTCTAGGCAGTATTTACAGAAATTTTTATTATTTACTTGGGCTGTTCTACTTTTTCCTTTAGTTTCAAATCTTTGCATAGTTTGTAAATAGAAAATGTATTGATTTTGTTAATTTATGCATGAAGTTCACCCTATAAAAAAATACAAAGCAAACCCATTGTTACAATGATATCTGATTCGTGTGAAAAATGAATTTAAAATATATATTATTGTTGTGCACGTTGACGATGAATTATTCCAGTCTCGTGTGCTTGGAAAATTCAAAGGCCTTCAATGAATCTGCACTCGTGAACACCATCCATACGGGCCACAGCAAGAGAACCAGTAAATTTCTATTTGATACCATTTTTCGCATCAGTTCGGGAGTATCGAATGCCTTCGGACTTTCGGATACCGAAGACGAGGTTGAGTACACTGAGAATTCCAGTCTCAAAAACTGTGATTGCGGTGAGTATAAGTAGCCTTTTTAAAGCTATTTAAATATTATTTGATATTAATTAAATATAAATTTTGTATAGATTGCGGTTTTTCAAATGAAGAAAACAGAATTGTTGGTGGAAAACCCACCGGAGTGAACCAATACCCCTGGATGGCGCGAATTGTTTACGATGGAAAATTTCACTGTGGCGGCTCATTGTTGACCAAGGACTACGTTCTATCGGCGGCTCATTGCGTTAAAAAGCTGAGAAGATCCAAAATTCGAATTATATTTGGAGATCACGATCAGGAAATCACCTCGGAGTCTCAGGCCATTCAGCGGGCAGTGACAGCCGTGATAAAACACAAAAGTTTCGATCCCGATACCTACAATAATGATATTGCCTTGTTGAGACTTCGGAAGCCCATTTCATTTTCGAAAATTATAAAGCCAGTGTGTCTGCCTCGGTATAACTATGATCCAGCAGGTAAAGTTGACAACTTAATCTATAGTTTACAGATTTTAATGTGTAATAATATTGAATTCTAGGCCGCATTGGAACCGTTGTGGGCTGGGGACGCACCTCCGAGGGCGGCGAGCTGCCCTCCATTGTTAATCAGGTGAAGGTGCCCATCATGTCCATCACAGAATGCAGAAATCAAAAATACAAAAGTACTCGAATTACCTCATCAATGTTATGCGCGGGCAGACCAAGCATGGACTCATGCCAGGGCGATAGTGGCGGACCCCTGTTGTTATCCAATGGAGTTAAATATTTTATCGTAGGAATTGTTTCCTGGGGCGTTGGATGCGGCCGCGAAGGATATCCGGGTGTTTACTCGCGAGTGAGCAAATTTATTCCCTGGATAAAATCTAATTTAGAAAATACCTGCCTGTGTTCTTAGTCAAATGTTGTATGGAAATACACGCGAACAAATATTTATTGCCCTTAGCCTAGGTCCGTTTTAATGCCAAGTGTCTTTGTTATTTGTCCCCCAAGCAACGAGAATAAATATTAAAGTTTTATTTATTTTATGGAATGGTTTTTTCAATTAATATTGATATACCGACGCTGCATTTCCCTCACAAATCTTTGTACAATCATCTGTTTTCATTGTTGTATAAAAACTTATACCTGTAGTTAAGTACATTTCGTTGCAAATCGCATTTCTACAATTTCTAATAATACTCTATATTATTACCTATTTACACTACACGCTAATCCTCCCTGTACCTATTACTTAGAACTGTATTCGCCACTTTCAGGACCTCATTTGATATCTTTCCACAGCTAGACTCATTGACGGATTGCATTTTAAGTGCTGCATGGAGCGGCATTAGGAATTGGGTGTTGGCATTGGACCCCAATTGGTAATTCTCCATCGACTCGTAAATGGATTTGAAAAGCAGTTGCCGGTCGGAATGGAAATAGCCACGATTGCCGTGAATTACCTTGACGCCGACATGGGACATGTTACAAATGCTCATGTACATGCAGTGATCTGGACGGTAGTTGTATTCGCACGGCATGATGTACAGCTTGTCGGGATGGAAGTAAAATAGTATGTTTATGATGTCTTGGTCGCCCCAGATAATCCGCAGTTTGTACTCCTTGTGAATAGCCAGGATATGTTGCTCCCACTTCATTTCCCGCATTCGGGTGAGATTCATTAGCATAACCCCAGAGTTCACGCCGAGTCGGCCGTAGAACGGATGCCGTGCGAAGCGGTTGTACCAGCCAATGTTCTCGTTCTCGTGCTCCGGCGTCAGCGCTGAGATCTGGGTCTCGTTGAACTTCCTAAAGAATCGCCAGATATCCGAGATAGGTGACAAAAACAATATATCCGTGTCAACGTACAGCAATGAGTCCACATTCGTTAGCAAAGACTGAAAGAAGAAAGTAGTTCAATTAACAAGATGTATTTGCAAATTGTTATTTCAATTTGCACTTACCGGGAGAAACAAACGCTGAGCGGCACACGGCTTGAAGAGATTCTTCCATTCGACCTCATTGTGGCTGGGAAACTTCAAAGGCAGGATCTCAAAGTCAAACGTGAAGGGTTTGATGTCTCGCCAGTCCGTCAGCTTTTCCGTGAACTCATCACCCTGGCCGTTCTCGGTGAAAATTAAAAATTTTAAATACTCTTCGTCATAGTTGAACAGAATGGCTGATTTGATCATAACCAGAGTCTCCTGGACTCTTTGACCGCAGCATACGACAACGATGTAAAGAGGGGGTTTCGAGGTTTGTCTAAGGAATAAAAGAACATATTTCTTAGTATAAGAGGAGTGGGTGGAGGGGGTTTCGGGTTACATTATACATATTCTAGTAGCTTTAACAAGCTTCTTATAAAGGCTTATTTATGACTGTAACGTTGACAACCACATTTCTATGGGTTTACTTACGCTTCGCTAAAACCACCTGCCTCTCCCTTGTAGTCAGTTACCCAAGAAGGACGCTGATGGACGAAGTAGGAAAGTATCGCTAATGCAATTAAGCACAGCAGACACATATGGAGATGTTGCTGCAATATTAAAACGTTTACAAACGTATTTTAAAAGATTTATTTGATTATTTACCATTTTAAGAGTATGCAAAAGCATAGTTTTAGCCGCAAATTGTTTATGTATTTGGTGCTTGAAGTCGCCGATGCCATAATCTTCCACGGTAATAAGGAATGTATGTAAATCTGTTATTATTTAACTTAAACTACATAATGAATGAGTGCATAAATATTTAAAAATATGCAAAATGCAAGCAAGTAGCGCAAAAAGCAGTCGTAAATATTTTGATGTTAGTCAAGGTAGCGGCAATGTATTGGCGAGAAACGGAACGATTGATCTAGTTAAATTTGAAACAACGGAATCTCTTGTTTCATTTTACTTAATTGTTTTAAATTAAATTTTAAAATGTTTGTGTAATTTTTAATTTTAATTTTAGACAATATATTTAACAATATTTATCAAATATAAATACTTTGCTAGATATAGTTTTAACGTTAAGTGTGTTTACCTCTTTTTGTGCACCATGTTTCGCTTTCGCTCGTTTCAAATAGCAAATGACCGATAACTTATCGAAACTGCCTATCGGGGAATTGTTTTCATTTAAACCATACACGTGCGAGCCGAATTAATAACAAATAAAAATGCTGCGAAAACAAGCCAGACAACGCCGGGAATACCTGTATAACAAAGCCCTCACCGAGCGCTTGAAGGCGAAACAAAAAATCCAGGAGACCGTTGTTCAGGCCATAAATGAGAACAAGACAATTGGCTCGAAGAATGTCAAGAAGAGCATGACAGTCTACAACTCGCTGAAATATGCTGATGGAGGTAAGAATATTGGTCTTTACTGCCCGACAAGCTGATCAAATAACCATCATGAACCATCATTATCTCAGGTATCGACGACCGCACTGTCAATGATGAGTACCATTATGCTGGATGCGAGGACCCGAAGATAATGCTGACCACTTCGCACAATCCCTCGTCCAGATTGAAGATGTTTATGAAGGAGCTGCGCCTGATCTTCCCCAATGCCCAGCAGATGAACAGAGGCAACTACCAGCTGCCGACGCTAATGCATGCCTGTCGTGCGAATAATGTAACCGATTTCCTAATTGTTCACGAGCACCGAGGCATTCCGGACAGTCTTGTGGTTTGCCATCTTCCCTACGGGCCAACTGCCTTCTTTAACATTTCGGATGTCATTATGCGTCATGATATTCCCGATATCGGTCACATGAGTGAGCAGAAGCCGCACTTAATTTTTAATAACTTCAAAACGCCTATCGGCCTGAGAACGGTGAAGATCCTCAAGCACTTGTTCCCCGTTCCGAAGGAGAACTCCCAGAGAGTCATGTCATTCTTGAACCACAATGACTCGATTATATTCAGGCATCATCAGTACAAGTATAAAAACAAGGAACTGGAGCTCAGCGAGGTGGGGCCCAGGTTCAACCTGAAACTGTATCAAATCAAGCTGGGGACGCTGGAGAATATCAAAGCGGCTGACACCGAATGGATTAATCGTCCTTACATGAACACCTCACAGAAGAAGCTTATATTCTCCAATGATCCTGGATTGACGAGTAGGGACACTGATGTATAGGGATCTTTGGTTGGGACAATAAAAAATAAAAATAAAAAATGTATACATACAAATAAAATTAATTAGTTGTCTTTTTTTTAACTTTTGGAAAGGTGTTTAAGTTAAGTTAAGTTTAAATTAACAATTCAATTAATCCATTAAAATTAAAATAATTGCGGATGACACGAAGATTAATCATCATGGGATCATGGGATTTAACAAAATTATTTTTATTATTTTTAATATATTTTTACGAGATTTTGAAAGCAGTTTCATCCCATTTTGTTTGATAAATATAGGGACATTTTATATTAAACATGAAAATAACAAAAAAGGAAACAAACTTCAGAGAGCAGAAATTTGTATACCCTTGCAGTTTGAAATGGGAAAGCATTTCTATGCTAGTTTTTATCTAGGTTTACTAATCTGCATACTTAGTGTTATTTTTGGCAATTTATTAAAATTTTAACGCTGCAACCCCTTCAAATTTCGAAAAAAAATCATTTTGTTTTCTGTTAAACATGGCTAAGAAGACTCGCCTCTTATTGCTAAAAAATATATGATTTATGAGGTCGAAAATGACTCCTTCACAGCGTAGCAAACTTCTGACTAAAATTGCAAGGGTATAAAAATAGACTAGAGAAAGGGGGGCTTACTGCACATTGGTTAAGCGCTAAAAACATTTTCTTTAAGTAAAAGTAAATTTTTAAAAGCAAAGATAAGATTTCGAAAAGTATTCAGTGGCGTTTACACTTATGGCACACTTTGTAAAGTATCTTAATAATCTTCTGTTTCCTATTTTCCGGTGATTTTCATTCTGTTTCTTGTTAAACAAGGTTTAAATGGAATTTTCTTGTGTATTTTATTAACACTCCTTCGCAGAGTATAAACATTTTTGTTCACAATTTTGATAATGCATAAGACGAGTCTATATCGTCCCCATATTCACATTATTTAGTGTTACTAATTCAATCATTTTAATTACTCAATTAAAAAAGCTACTGCTTGAAGGATTTAAGATAGATAACTTGAAGCCTAGTCGGCTTGATTCAGACTTGTAAGTAGTTTATTTATATTATATATTTTTATACCCTTGCAGGGTATTATAATTTCAGTCAGAAGTTTGCAACTCAGTGAAGGAGACGTTTCCGACCCTATAAAGTATATATATTCTTGATCAGCATCAACAGGGGAATCTTTCTAGATATGCCAGGAAGAAATCGATTTTTTGGCCATTTTTGCAACATTTTATAAGGGGTTACATCATTAAAATTTTTGATGTTGATAATAAAATTGAATTTTCAAAATTTTTAAATGAAGTATGCAGATATATTAACTGTAGAAAATCTTGCACAGAACAGTTTTCCGATTTAAAATTAATGCTCTTTTGGCCAATTAATGATATTTTTAATTTAAAAAAAAATCAAGAAGTTTTTTAATATAAAAAATCCGATTTTATAATACAAAATAATATTTTTCTAAGTCAAGGAATCATTTCCGACCCCATAAACCATATATATTCTTGATCAGCATCAACAGGGGAATCGTTCTAGATATGTCAGGAAGAAATCGATTTTTTGACCATTTTTGAAAAATTTTATAAGGGGTTACATCATTAAAATTTTTGATTTTGATAAAAAATTGAATTTCCAAATTTTTAAATGAAGTATGCAGATTTATTAACTGTAGAAAATCTTGCACAGAACAGTTTTCCGATTTAAAATTAATGCTCTTTTGGCCGAGTTATGATATTTTAAATTAACGAAAAAAATCCAGAAATTTTTTATTTAAAAAATCAGCTTTTATAATACAAAACAATATTTTTCTAAGGCAAGGAATCATTTCCGACCCCATAAACCATATATATTCTTGATCAGCATTAACATGCGAATCTTTCTAGACATGTCCGGAAGAAATCGATTTGTTGGCCATTTTTGCAAAATTTTATAAGGGGTTACATCATTAAAATTAGCAAAAATGGCCAAAAATTTTGATTTCTTACAATTTTAAATTTGGTATGCAGCTTTTTAAATTAATAATGTATTTTTGGCTTAGTTATGATATATTTTAATTGTTACCTGCAAGGGTATACAAACTTTGGCTGGCCAAAGTTAGCTTTCTTTCTTGTTTATAGAAACGACCTGGCAAAATATATAAAAAAAATATTTCTTCTAGAACTTCAAGGTCTTAAACTTATTGTCCGTGTGTGAAAATTATAAGATCAAAGCGGAAACTTACTCCATTTCTTTGTTTTTTAATATACCAGCGCACCTTGAAAAATATAAATTGCAGCCCGGGGAGCCTGTTTTGTAATCCCTCAACAAAAAAAAAAAAATAATAAATAAAAATACATAAAACCAATGGATTGGTGCCATTGCAATAACTGCGATTATTTTCGGAAATAAATAAAATGCTTAAAAAAGCCAAGACGTTAATGTCGAAAACGGCAATAAAATTAACAAGTCAACCTGTTTGAAAAGATTGTTTCCGGTAAAGCAATGTTGATGAAATGGAAATTGTAATTCACATTAAATTAGCTTTACACTTAAAAGATCAAAGTTTATATTAATTTAGACAAAAAATAATACTATACATGATGCATTTTCTTCATTACAAAACAATATTGTATTATTATTTAATTTGGATTTTATTGGAGAGTCGAAATATATATTAGTTTAGGTAATCTCTGGCTTTTTGTACATTTAGAAGAAGGCCTTCGCGTAAGATGGAAAACCTTCGATACACTTGGACTTTGAAGAGATTTTTAAAATAAATTTTAACAAAAAATAAATAAATTTATGCATAGGTTTTATGTTTAATTTTACTTATTCGGTGATGTTTCCAAAAGCATTGAAAGCCACCAATAAACAACTTTTTTTGAAAAACATCGATGCATTGATGCTTCTTCGCATCTAAAATAATGCCTTTGTTAATCAACCAATTATTTGTTTATTACCACAGAGAAAAAGTTATACCTTTGCCAAGATTAAATATGTATGTTTCTGAATGGATGCTTTTTATAACCAAATGCAAATGCTTAATAACTTGGATAAATAAAAAAACAACAATAAATTAATAAAAAATAAGTACCAGGCATAAGGAGGCACATCCGCACATATAAAGTATATATTTTCCTAATTTGCTAAATTAGAAAATTATATTTAAAGATGGCTTGCAACTTTAGGTTCAGTTTTGTTAAAAACCCGACAATATATACGGTTTTATTATGAAAACTTTTAACAATTAAGAAGATTTTGTATATAAATAAAATATAGAAATACACAAGATACCCCCTAGTACAGTCAGAGAGTTGCCAAAAAGCTGTTAATGATTTGAAATGACGACTCTTGGGAGTCGTATTTGGTTTTGCCTGCCGTTCCATATCAGTAAGTTAGATCAAAGGTTAACACGATCTAATAAGGTGTAAAACACCTGACAACACCGACCATATAATTAAATGTGTTTATACTAATTCTGTCTATCATTTAACAGCTGTCTGATGTTAATGATGGAACGCATTCTCCTAAATAGCCTGCACAGGCAGAGCTCTGGACGAGGCAGAGGCAGAGGCACAGGCTGTTGGCCCATTACTGGTAATGCCGATGATCAGCAGGCCGTAGAGCATGGAAACTCGTCCACTAATATACGATTTCGCTTCGTTTGGACCACATACAACTTGATCTGATCCCATGAAACAATAAAGGGGATG